CCTCACATATGTGAGGCACTGGGTTTGATCCTCAGAAGCACATTAAAAAATAAATAAAGAAAGGTATTGTGTCCATCTACAACTAAAAAAATTTTTCAAAAAACAGTGTCTGTATACAATGGAGTTTTACCCAGCCACAAAGAAGAATGAAAAGAAGAATGAAACTGAGTCATTTACTGGCAGATGGATGGAGCTGGCGAACGTGATGCCAAATGAAATAAACCAGACTTAGGAAGTCAAGGGTCAAATGTTCTCTCTCATTTGTGGAAGCTGTCATCAGTGATATCTGGGGTTCTCAAAGCAGATCCTAAAAACTTCTGTTCAGTTCACATCCACAGACTTTGCATAGCACTCTAGGTCAGGGTGTTTGGGGAGACGAACTATGCTTGTCTGAAGGAGTTCACAGTCTCACTGAGGAGCCTGTTCCTGCTGCTTGAATCCCAAGCCATGCAACCTTCCTCTAAGCTGCCACCTTGAATCTCTCTCAAAAATGAATAGTCTTAACCTGCAACCACAAAAAGGTTATGTGAAAGCACTTCTAGTTCCAAGAGACAGATGTCAAATAGTCACAAGCAGCCAGTGTGGTGGTGCATATCTATAATCCGAGTGACTGGGAGGCCAAGGCAGGAGGATCACAAGTTCAAGGCCAACCTCAGCAACTTAGCAAGAACCTGTCTTATAAAAACAAAGAAGGCTGGGGATGTGGCTCAGTGATAGAGCACTCCTGGGTTTAATCCCCAGTGCCACCACTAACAACCACAAACAAAATAGGAAGTTTATTGGTTCATATAAGTGGACTAATTTCAGGCATGGCTGGATGTAGGGGCCCAAACTGTGAGGGTTTTATGTCTTTACCTCTTGTTTTTGGTACGCTTTCTCCACAGCATGGGAAAGATGGCCTGCAAACTGTTATGATCCAAAAGGAAGAGAGACCTGGTCCCTTAAAATCTCACTCTGAAGCTGGTGGAAAGGTTCTCATTAGCTCTGCCCAGGTTATGGGCCTGTTCTTGGGTCAATTACTATGTTCAGGAGAATGATGCTCTGTGATTGGCCCAGTGTGGGTCATGTGTCTGGCCCTGTAGCACAGGACCCTGTGGATGATCACCCTACTGGGAACCTGGGGAGGGACAGAACGGAGAGTCAGTCTACGACAGCAGTGAGGAGTGTCTGTTCTGGGTGACGGAGAGGTCAAGATACCAGTCACAGCGGTCATAAGGGTAGCTGCGGGCTGAGTACTCTATTTCTTGTGCTGTGGAGTTTGGGCTCTGTATCACCCTTGCCCCTGTTGGAGCTGGCAGGAGGGAACAAGGTACTCCCCATCTCAAGGGAGGGAAGGCAGGTGTGGGCCTGGCTGGAGACTGACCGCCTGATCTCCAGCTGCCTGAGTTGCTCCCGGGGCTCCAGGTTCTGTGGCAGGGTGTGCTGCCATGGGCCATGGTCCCTCCAGCCCTGTGGTGCAGCCTGGGGGAGGCTCAGGCCAGCCCCACTCACCAGGCTTCTGGAGGCTGCTGAGCCCCAGGCAGGGGCCCAGATCAGCTCTGTGCAGATGAGGGGTCTTGACCCACGAGGATTTGACATCTCAGCAGGAGGAAGACCGCTACAAGCTGATGCTCAGTCGGAGTGACAGTGAACATATTGCCAGTAACTACTTCCGTCCCAAGCGGGCCAACCAGATCCTCAGTTCAGATCCCATGAAGAGCCTCAGTAAGTGTCCTGTGCACCTGTGTCCCCTCCCCCACACCTAGGAGAGGCATGGGGGGTGGTTCTGGAGTTGATGGACCTGGGTTCAAAACACCTCTCCCTCCATGAGCCTTGTGTTTTTTAGCAATAAAATGAGTGGGATTAGAGGAGATGAGGTGGGGAAATAACCAAGCCAGGGCCTGGCACATAGTAGGTGCTTGGGAGAAGACTGTGTGTGTGGCTGGTGTCTCCCCTGCCACACAGGAGGGCCCTGGCTTGGTGCTGTGGGTCGGGTCTGAGAAGGCTGCTTCACATTAGGCTGCCCAATAAACGGCCTTTTAGGCTGCCCAATAAACTGGTTACTCCCCAGCTTCCTCATGCCGGTGTGGCGACTTTCCCCAAATGAGGATTGACTCTCTTCAAGGACCACCACAAGGGCGCTGGCAGGGCAAGAGGGCATTACAGGTGTGCGCCACTGCGCCCGGCATGAATCCTAGTTCTATACAGAGGTTATGTAAGAGACTGAATGGACTGAGGAGTAAGGGCAAGAGTCCGAAAGAAGGGACATGGGCATCATCGGAGTCCTCCACGTTGCAGAGGAGAAAACTGAGGCTCCGAGAGGTGGAGTGACTTGCCCGAGGTTGCACAGCTAGGGAGTCGTGGGGCTGGGCTTTGAACCCCGGCTTGTCTGGCCCGAGAGCTCAGGCTGCCTCAGTTTGAGGCTTTAGAACCCCTAACCCCAGCCAGATTCTTTGGATGCAGATGTAATGCTGAGATCTCAACTAGAGCAGCCTTAGATGGTCCCGCTGCTGGGAGGGGAGGGCTACCCGTCCTCCACCCTGCACACCCCAGGAGCTCTCTCCATGCCTGTGCGCACCAGCCCTGCCCTCTCTCCACAGCTCATCACAACTCACCACCAGGCCTCGGCTCCCCGCTCAGCAACAACTCTGCCATCCCGCTTGCCCAGGCCCCTGAAATGCCCCAGCCCCGGCCCTTCCGCCTCGAGTCCCTCAACATCCCCTTCACCAAAGCTAGGCGGAAGAAAAGCAAAAGCAGCTTTGGCAGTGAGCCTCTGTGATGGCGGCTGCCCTCTACCACCTGCCTTTAGGCTCCAAGAAACTGCTGGGCGGCCCCACCCAGGCCTCCTCCCATCTCCCCCCACAGTGAGGCCCTCAGTCACTATGCCTGGGGCTTGGGGCTTGGGGCTTGGCCATCAGAGACTGCCTCGGAGACTGCCTCCTCCTCGTCCTCCTCGGAGAGGCCTGCCCCGGCTCCGTGCACCGCATCAGTGTTCCTACCCACCCTCCCACCTTGGAGCCGGCAACTTGGGCCTACCAGTGTTGTCCTTTGCCTCGATGGCCTCAGAAGCTTCGGACCTGCCTTGGCACCTTCATCACCAGCCCCAGCATTTGGATGACGCGCGACATCTTGGTGACTGAAATTTGTGCCTCCATGTGATTTGCCCCCTTTCCAGAGGGAAGCCTTGCCCTGCAGGAGGGGCACAGGAAGAGGCCTGGAGGGCGGTTCCACTGGGCTGAGAAGGCTGCTTCACATTAGGCTGCCCAATAAACTGCCTTTTAGAATAAATCCCCTCCCTGACCCTCTCTGACTACATCCCTGGGCCCTGCATCTCTGCAGCCATGGCAGCTGCCCGGAATGGGCGCTCACTGGCCCGAGATTTTAAAACCAGCAGGCTCCCTGCACCTGCAAACACAAAAGAGTATTTTTTTTTTCCTTTGGAGAGTGTCAGAGATTTCAAAGAATCTGTCACCCAGGGCCCCTTTGTGGAACTATTAATAGGACCAGGAGCTCACTCTGGAGAAGCTGGGGTGGGGTGCTTAGGTAGCCACAGAGGCAAGCCTCTGACTACACTACCCACCAGGTCAGAGACTTTAAGGGGAACAAAGAGCCTTTCTGAAGGGAGAGTGTTGGGTGGGGCGGGGCTCCCTCCTGTAAGGAAGGCAGAAGGTCCTGGAGGTTCAAGACGGGTATATGGGGAGGGTACTCCTGGTGGCAGAAGTTTGGTGAGCAAAAAGCACCAAGTGGCAACACTCAGCCCTGAGCGGGGACAAGAGAGATGAAGCTGTAGCGATGAGGTCAGGTGCAGACTCGAGGTGAAGGAAAAACCTTTAGGTGTCCTGAGCTGTGGCAGGGGTAGGCTAGGGAGGGCAGGAGGAGGCTCCACTTGGGGTAGAGCCAGAAGGAATGAAGAGGAGCGTCTGCTAGGGAAATGCATGGGGGAGGAGAGGCTAAAAGGGAAGGAATGTTCATGACTTCTGGGACTAGGTGGAGCTCTTTCAGAGAATTTGAGCGTTTCTGGTCATGGTGGCTGGTAGGTGTCTTTAGACTTAAAAGGTTGGGTTTGAGAGGGTGCCAGGCAAGTCTAGTCAAGTTAACCCTGTATTATATATAGCTCTGGGCAAAACATATCAAATGATGACCATGCCTACATATAGTACCCAGAAGAATCTGAATCAAAGGTTAAGGCAACAAGGGAGACAGAAACAAGCCTCCTCATCCCATTCCAATCAATTCCAGTCATCCATGGGACATCTACGGGCCCAAGTGGAGACTCAGTGTTTTCAGCAAAAGTGGCCTTCGGGTTCCTGAAGAGTGACCTAGACAAAAGCTAGTGGCGGTGTGTGTATGTGTGCTAATAATGTACTGCCCTGTGGCTGTGACCTTAAAAGTCAATGAAAAGGGGCTGGGGTTGTGGCTCAGTGGTGGAGCACTTGCCTTGCTCGCGTTCGATCCTCAGCACCACATAAATATAAACATTGTATCCATCTATGAAAAGCAAATGAAGCTACGGGGTTTATTTTATTTTTTCCTCCCCTGGGGCGGAGATGGGCAGGCAGGAGCTCGCAGTGCCCCTGACCTCGACCTTATCCCTCCTTAACCCGTCCCTGCTCTCTAGCCTCTCCTTCTAGAGGTTTGGGAGATGGGCCTCCCGGTCTGCCCTAGACTGGTGAGGACCAAGGAAGTGGCCAAGTGCCCCACGCCCCGTCCGGGACAATATCCCTTCGAAAGGGACCAGACTGCGCCAGAACCCGGCTCTGGACTAGCGGAGGAGCCGGACTGAGCGGAGCCAAAGGGCGTCCGGCCTTGATTGGTGGCGGCTGCAGAGCTGTCTCTTCAGTATTGAACCTTTTCCTCTTGGGAGGCGGGGCCTCAAGTCCCTTCTACCAATAGCATGTGAGGGGTCCGCCTCCGACAAGAGCACTTCCGGAAATGCTCCCGGCTTCTTACCATCAAAGTCGCAGCTGTTGACGCCCGGCCGGGAGTATCTAGATCACTTCCGGTTGGTACTCCACGGCCACGAGTCGCGATTGGTCGGCTGTAGACGGGACCTTTCCGGTGTCCAGGTGTGGGTTCTTTGGCTGAAAGAAGAAAATGGAGCGGTGCACGGCGGCCCGTGCTTGGTCTCTCTTATGGCTGCTGCTACCCTTGCTTGGCTCGGTCTGCGCCAGCGGCCCCCGCACTTTAGTGTTGCTGGATAACCTCAACTTGCGGGAGACGCACTCGCTTTTCTTCCGGAGCCTGAAAGGTTTGAGAGCGGGGTCCGAGGGGACGGCGCGTGAGGGTCACGGGTGGGAAGGACGCCCGAGCCTGAGGGCATCACCATCCTCCCTGACACCCGCTTTTCTGGAGCAGGCGCCCAGGTGCGGCCTGCCGCCTGGAGTGGCTCGCGATATCTGCCCAGGGGGTTGGTTCCCTTTGCGTCCTGACTGCCGTGGTTGACTGCTGCTTTTTTTTTTTTTTTTTTTCCTCGTCCAGATCGGGGCTTTGAACTCACATTCAAGACCGCCGATGACCCCAGCCTGTCCCTCATTAAGTACGGGGAGTTCCTCTATGATAATCTCATCATCTTCTCCCCCTCGGTAGAAGGTAAGGGCCGCGCGTCTCCGGGATTCAGGACCCCGGACTGATCCATTGCTTTCTTCTGATTCTTGGGCAGGTTCAGGGTCTGGGGATGGGTTGCCAGCCCTGGCACTGCTGCTGCCAAGAGAAGAGAAAATGCTAATTTCTAACCTGGGCACAGTTAAGGGTTGTGGGGTCAAGTGTTGCCATAGACGGTGGAACTCGGGCCCTGCTCCTCTGCATAGAAGGAAGTTTTTTCTGCAAAGGGTCTGATAGAATGAAGAGTGCCTGATGGCGTCTGCCTGAGTGAAAAGAGGGATTGGCATGTTATTAGTATGGATTAGTGTAAAGAGGCATTGTGAAGGTTGGTATTTGACCTTAACCTCCAGCTGAGAAAAAGCCTTAACAATTACCCCCTCCTACCCATTTGATAGCAGTTGGATATGTTCAGAGGCTTAGCAGAGGGCTAATTGTTGAACAGAATCTTCTTCAAATTATCTAACAGAATATCTTCACTATTCTATTAATAGAATATCTTCTTCAAATTATTCCTGGAGCAGGCCCCCAGGCCCCTTATACTTCACTATTCCTATTTTAGGAGGCAATCCACTCCATCACTGTATAATTCTGTTACAAAGTTACATTAAACTGCAACTTGTCTCTTTCTACTGTGTTTGGGGAGGGAGGTTCCCAGCCTTCCCCAGGGCCTTAGAAAACAAATCTGGTGCTTATCTTGCTGAAAAACAGTTTTCACATGGTCACAGCCTACTTAGGTGTTTCTTCTAATATCCCCAGTTTTTTTGGCCATGCTTGTTTTGGTGAGAATGCTAGTGATTCCCTTCTTTATTTGCTTCGGTCTTTTCCTTGAAGGACTCATGTTATCCCTGTTTGCACTACCTTGTACCCTGCAACCCTCCCTCCCTTCAGTTGATGAAGCTTAGGACATCTATGCTTTGTTGACAGTTACTTTGTTTTCTGTAGTTCACATGTGATTGGGTTCTACCAAATCCCTTAAGTATTTTTCTCCAAAGGCCTGTCACTTACTATCTTGCTCCCCATTGCCCTGCAACACATGCCATTGGAACTGGCTTTTTGGAGGCAAGGGTAGTTGGGTGGATGTGACCCGGACTCTTCAAGTTAAGATCTTCAAATGAGAGGGCAGTTGGACTGGATCTGTCAGCAGAGTGATGGTTGTCTGCGTTTCTGCTGTATTTGGGACTTTGAAATATACACAGTCCAGTGGTTGGATAGTCCAGCAGTGAGATAATAAGGATAGAGCCTGCCCTTGGGAAGTTCTTTCAGTCTGTGTTTGAGGAAATAAAGATTGGAAATGAATTACCAAACCTTGTGTCAGGATTTAAGGTGGAGTGAAAAAGCTGTCAAGTTGTGCTTTTGGAGAGACTGGGAAGGAAAGGAGCAGTGGGGAGATGGATTGGAGAACATCGGGAAAGGGAGGTGGGAGAGATGCCACCAGCCTCAGATAGTATTTCTCGGGTTAGTCACTTGCGTATCTCCTTCCTGCTTTCTACCACATTCCATGTCACTGTACTAATAAACCAACAATGAACCCGGTATCACCAGTGCAAATGGAAAGCCAGTGTCAGGTAGATGCTAACTGTGAATAGACAGACTAGAACCAGTGCTGGTAACTTCTACCGTGTATTGTTGCCTGCTACAGGTTCTCTCCTCAGAAAGGAGATTAGCAAGTATAGAGGAATTCTAATGCTGGTATCAAACTTAAGAAAAAGCTTGGAAAATAAATGGGAAGACAGTAACTTTGTCTCTATGAGATTGAGCATTATTTAAAGCACTGTCCACACATCACTATTGTCAGCTTTTTGATCCTGGTGAGTGGGTCCCACACCAGCAGATGCTGCTGCAGGAAGTCCTCTCAGGCACTCTTAGGGAGAAGGCTCATACTGCTTAGGGTCCAAGGTATGGGTTTGGCCTTCCTCTGGGTCCTTCTGCAGTCAGTAACCACATTAGCTCCGCCAGGTTGCAAACATGGGCTGGCTCCCTTGTCCATGCACCAGTGGCTCCCGCCCGATATGGAATTAGGAGATTCCCAGGTCACGTGCAGTAGCGGCTCAGGGGAATGACACAGGCTGCCGGCAATACTGGGTCCTGCTCTGTAGATGGGAGGTGGGTTCAGAAAGGTGCAGGGATTTGCCTCGTTTAAGCCCAGGCTGCCTCAGTTTCAAAGCAGGTGTTCAGTGTGTCCCAGGCCTCTTCCCACTAGAGGTCAGCAGCTACTTCACTGCTATTGTGATAATCACAAATGCCTTCTAGACAGTGCTCTGAGGGGTACGGTCACCCCAGGTTGAAAGCCTCTTTCAAGAAGCTGTTTTGGAATTGTCTGGGGCTCTTCTGGCCTTTGTAGGAGAGTGGCTCCTCCACAGGAGAGTGGCTAGATGGCTTTATACCTGTGATAAGAGGCAGCGTCCCCAAGAACAGAGTACTCTTTATACTTGAAGGTGAGGTGCTTTTTAATTTTTTCAGAGTCAGAAAAGGGGGCTGTTCCATGCAGACCTTCACAGAGGCCTTTCATGGACTCCTTCCTGTCCCCATGCCTAGTGGATGTCTAACAAACTTCAATGTCTGGTCTTAGTAAATTGGCACTTTCATCCTTCCAGTTGCTTGGGCTCCTTGGGACTGTCCTTAATCCCTCTCTTTGGGTGGCAGCCACAGGCACCCCCTCAAGGCCCCTGTGGTTTACGTTCATGCCCATGGGAAGACCCCACCCCTACCCTGCACTCTGCTGTACTACCTCTGTGTGGCCTGGAAGCACTCATCACAGTCTGGACTTCATGGTGGCCTCCTAACCTGTCACATTTCCACCCTCACTCCCTTCCCCTGGTCTCCACAGCCACCAGGACCATCCTGAGAAAGCACAAGTGAAGTCACATAGGTCTTCTCAGAATCCTCCCGTGGCTCCCACTGCCAAAGCCCTCACGTGCGAGGCGAGCGCTCTACCGCTGAGCCACAACCCCAGCCCGAAAGGCAGTATTTCTAAGTGAAAGTTATATGTGACCTGAAATATGGTGCCCCGCTTGACATCCTTAGTCCCCAAACATTAGTAGATGTTTGACTATTTCTTCTAAACCTTTAAAAGTTCATGAATCTGAGGTGTTACTTGACTTGACTGAATCTTGACTTTTGGGAAATGAGGGCTCCTTTTCCAGATGGGGCACAGCAGCCCTCTCTTTCATTCTGGGCCCACTGGGGGTCCCATGTTGATGGATTGTGGCTGGTCTACAGGGGACCCCCACTCCTACCCTGAGTGTCAGGGAGCAGAGCCTGGTTACTGTGTCTGATGTCTTCTTTCAGATTTTGGAGGCAACATCAATGTGGAGACCATCAGTGCATTTATCGATGGGGGAGGCAGTGTCCTGGTAGCTGCCAGTTCAGACATAGGTAAGTCGGACCTGGGAAGTTCTGGTGCTTTCCTCCATTCTCCAGGGAGCTTGGAAAGCTTCACAAATGGAAGCTGTCAAGTTGGCATTCTCTGGGTGGGCCTTGGCCAGCAGTCAGTGAGGGGGCTGCAGGCTGCTGGGTGCTCAGGCCCTCCTGTGCTTTGCTGTGACCGGACAGTGAGATTCAGGGCTTGAAGGAGTAGAAACCCTGGCTGGGCTTTTTTCATTGTTGGCTTTGTTTTGGGGACTGTCCCTTAGAGAGAGAAGGCCCAGATATCTAATTGATTTTTGCCTTGTTTTCTTTTTCTTCTTTGCAGTACTGGGAATGGATCCCAGGGCCCCACACATGCTAGGCGAGTGCTCTACCACTGAGCCACACACTCAGTCCTTGTTTTCTATTTTGGAAAATTTCAGAGGTGCCTAGAAGTAGGGAGAGAGTTGCATCCTTAGTCCCTTGCGCTGATCACCCAGCTTCAGCATTCCTGGGCAGTCTGACGATGTTTTTTGTTTTTTGTGCTGGTACCAGGGCATTTTACCACTCAGCTATATCCCCAGCCTTTTTTTTTTTTTTTTGAGACAGGCTCTCATAAGTTACTGAGATTGGCTTGGGACTTTTGATCCTCCTGCCTCAGCCTCCCGAGTACTGACACATTTTAAAAGTATGTTCCTTGTAATGGGGCATGACAAGGACTGGAGAAACCTGGTCAACCCAGGTTCTTCACGTCAGGCTTGGCTTCAGAGGGGTTTTTTGTCATTGTGTGTTTGTGGAAGGAGACCAGGTGGTGGTTTTGTTCCATCAGTTCAGAGTGTGATCCCTGGAGGCAGAGACTGACCTGATGCAGCTGCGGGGTACTGGTGTTGACCAGTGATGAGTGAGTCATGGGGAAGCCATGACCCTGTTTGGCTTGAGCCCACTGTAAGGGCTTAGGCAGGCATCTCTTGGGTCTTTGCAGGTGACCCTCTCCGAGAGCTGGGCAGTGAGTGTGGGATCGAGTTTGATGAGGAGAAAACAGCTGTCATCGACCATCACAACTATGATGTCTCAGACCTCGGCCAGGTAATCAGGCCCACTGCCTTCTAGACTTCTGGCATGGATGGCAAAGCTCTGCTCAGCCTAAAGACAAGAGGGAGCTAGAGGGACTCCCTGGCCTGAGGAACCTTTTCTGGACACCTCTCTTTCCCTCTGCTCTGTAGCACACGCTCATCGTGGCTGACACTGAGAACCTGCTGAAGGCCCCAACCATTGTTGGGAAATCGTCTCTAAATCCCATCCTCTTTCGAGGAGTTGGGTGAGTGCGCAGGAAGAGGCCTGTAGAAACCTGGGGAAGGAAGGGTCACTTGGTTTTGGAGAAGCTAAACCAAAATTTGTGATTATTTGGGGGTGTTCCTTCCCCCAGCAGATGTGGGTGGGATTAATTTCTTATTGTAGAGAGAGGAGAGCTAAGTGTTTGGCTTTTGAGAGAGAAGGATCCATCCTGGGAAGAAGTGGCCCTGGCGATCCCTCGTCCTTTGGGCTCATTCCTGGGTCAGTGTCGGGCTGCTCTTCGTTCCTTCTGCAGGATGGTGGCGGATCCCGACAATCCTTTGGTCCTGGACATCCTGACGGGCTCGTCTACCTCTTACTCCTTCTTCCCAGATAAACCCATTACCCAGGTAAGGACCTTTGCAACCTTGACCTTCCTCCTCTTAGGCCCGGTGGCAAAACACTTTCTTATTGGAAAATAAAAACGATGCCGGAGGCACGCTTGCTGAGGGAACAGGGTGGAAGGAAGGGCACGTGGGCAGAAGTGGTGTGCTCTCGGTTTCCTCCCTCAGATGAGGACACAGCCACTTAGGTGTCCAGCCTGTTGTCCTCTTGCTCTGGTGGCTTTGGCTTCACCTTGGCAGTGTGTGGGTGACCACCTCCATCTGTTCCCAGTACCCCCATGCGGTGGGGAAGAACACCCTGCTGATTGCCGGGCTTCAGGCCAGGAACAACGCCCGGGTCGTCTTCAGCGGCTCCCTTGACTTCTTCAGCGATGCCTTCTTCAACTCTGCAGTGCAGAAGGCCACACCTGGTGCCCAGAGGTGGGGCTCCCCGGGGCGCTCGCACGTGGTCTGGGCGGTGCAGGCTGTTTGTGTGGAGAAACCTGTGTGCCGTCTGGGGCTCTTGAATTCTTTGAAAATGGCTTGGTTGCTTACATTGCTGCGGTTGGCACTCCACACCTCTCACGGTCGTGGGGAGCTATTTAGAGACCAGCATTCCTTTAGAGATTTGTGTATTTACAGTGTAGGTGATGCCCAGGGCATCTGCATCTCTTCATTCTTCTGATTTTCTTTAACCATGGCTCCTGAGAGCATGAGGCCTACTCACAGAGCCTTGCTTAGTGTGCTCTCTTGGTGACCAGGGTAGCCTGTCCCATCAGGCACCACCAGGAAGAAGTTGGCCCCGGGCGCCAGCCTCTCTTTTTTCTTCTTGCAGGTACTCCCAGACAGGCAACTATGAGCTAGCTGTGGCCCTGTCCCGCTGGGTGTTCAAGGAGGAGGGTGTTCTCCGTGTAGGACCTGTGTCCCATCATCGGGTGGGCGAGACAGCCCCACCCAATGCCTACACAGTCACTGATTTAGTGGTAAGAGCTGGCGGGGGCGGGGGTCCGGGCCCAAAGTTTTGGCCAGATTGAGTCACTTTGACTCAGAAGCATTTGTGGGTCATTTTGGTGCCTGGGCTCGGGGGCATAAAGTAGGATGAAGACATTCACCTCTGTCCCTAAGGTTGTCAGTCTAGGTGTGGAGCCTGCACTAACCCATGTCTAGCAGAAGGCCTCGTTTTGAAGATTGTGTGTCACCATGGGAGGGGGCCGTGCCACTTCACTGCCCGGGAAGTCAGGTTTATAAGGAAATGGCATTTCGGTTGGCTTTTAGGATGAGTTTGTCAGGCAAGAGAAGCAAAGCAAGGAATGAGGACAGTGACAGAGCCTGCGCATCTGGGAATGGAAAGGGCCTCCATGGATGGTCGATGTCCATGGCCAGGGATTCTGTGCCGAGCACCTTGGGCAGGCAGAGGTGCTGCGGGGCACTGGCCCTGCTGAGGAGCGCAGGACAGTGGAGGGACTCCCACGGGCTGCAGGACTCGGGAGCTCCCTGCTGTGGTGGGAGGGCAGGAGTCACAGGCAGCACTGCCTGCAGGTGTGGCACCCTGCAGCCCCTGGCAGCCCTGGCTGACCCAGCCTTTCCTCTCAGGAGTACAGCATCGTGATTGAGCAGCTCTCCAATGGCAGGTGGGTCCCTTTTGATGGTGACGACATTCAGCTGGAGTTTGTTCGCATAGATCCTTTCGTGAGGACCTTCTTGAAGAGGAAAGGTAGGCAGTTCCTGCCAGAGAAGGCTGCAGGGGGCAGCCCACACCTGTGCTAGCCTCCATGAGGCCTGGCAGAGAAACACTCCAGGAAACCCCTGGTGTCGCTTCTTCCCCAGGTGGCAAATACAGCGTCCAGTTTAAGTTGCCCGACGTGTATGGTGTGTTCCAGTTTAAAGTGGATTACAACCGACTGGGCTACACCCACCTGTACTCTTCCACTCAGGTATGCACAGCGGGCAGTCCCTGTCTTCAGCCAGCAGTTCCCTGCCTAGGCCTCCAGTGGCCAGGGACTGCCATCTCTGTCCTGTTGCAGGTGTCAGTGAGGCCACTCCAGCACACCCAGTATGAGCGATTCATCCCCTCGGCCTATCCTTACTATGCTAGTGCCTTCTCCATGATGGCGGGGCTCTTCATCTTCAGCATCGTCTTCTTACACATGAAGGAGAAGGAGAAGTCTGACTGAGGGGCCAGAGCCCGGGACTCTGCAGCGGAGAGCGGAGGGTTTTTACCAGGGCGGGTTGGTGATCTCGTTTTGTTTGTTTTGTTCTGAAGCCGTGGGAAACGGCACAGCCTTACCTCAGTCGGGGGTGCAGCGTTGAGTACCAGGGGGAGGGGCCAGGGAATCATTTTTTATGCATTTTTTCCACCTTGAATTGTGGTGTTTTTCATATGTGCAGTCACTCCCATTTCTAAAATAAAGAGAACTGTTGCCCCCACACTTCCCTGCCCCAGCCTGCTTTGCTCTCGGGCATCCTTAGATGCCCACTAATAAGTGGCTCCTTTTAGTTTTGCCAAGACTCAACTAGGAAATGATCCTAACTTCTCCTCAAAGGGTAAAATAAAGTTGTTAATACAGATGCTGGACTAAAAAGATTAGTTCCTTGGTTGAAAAGAACCTTAAATATATATTCACCTCGCTGAAGGCCATAACTTTAAAAGCATGTGTCTAAGCGGGTGCAGCAGCACACATCCGTAATTGCAGTGACTCAGGAGGTCGAGGCAGGAGGCTCCCCAGCTCAGTGGTAGCATGCCCCGGGTTCAGTCCCTAGTACCACACACAAAAAACGTGTGCAGTTAAATGTGGAATCTCTTCCCCAATGTTATGTGTCCACAGAATTTTTCCATCAGGTTGTAAGACTCATTCAGAAAGCGAAATATTGAGTTCAGCACGTACATACTCTGCATTGTAAATTTGTATTTAATATCTCAGAAATGCTAGTCAAAAGGGAAATCAACAAGTTTAAGATGCCACACTGTTAATTTCCATTTCATCAGTGATCTGTGCAATGTATTAACTCAGTAGCTAGAGGAACACCGGAAAGGCTTTCTCTGTGCCGTCCAGAAGGGGCACCCACAGCCCAGGCCTCACTTTCATGTTTTTTTGTGCTGACCCCTGAATATACTGACCATGCAGATGTCTGCCTCAGCCCAGGTGGCACATACCAACTGGTGCCAGGCCCCCCCTCCAGAAGAACCACAGTCCATCCTCAGCACTAAGGGCAAATGTCACAAATTCTGCCACTGCCTTGGCCTGGATCCTCCATGCTGCGGAGCACAGGTCTGATCTCCCTCAGCCCAGAATCCTCCAACAGACCCGCTGGGCCATCACTTTGAGAGGTCTGTGAGGCCAGAAAAGGGCCCTAAGGTTGGACTTCTTGGTGAATAACGACAGAGTATGACTTCTCACCTGGGTGACACTGCGGTCCCTTGGATTCATGCAGGGAATCTCACATCGTCTTTATCACCGATACAGAGGGACCTCGCTGTCGGGAAACATGCTTTGTAGAGTGAACCCTATGAGTTCACCAGACCAGGCCTGGCAACTGGCCTGTGGGCCAAGCTGGTGACACATGAAAATCAAATTCCAGTGTCCATAAATAAAGCCCTAACAGAACAGTCCCATTTGGTTGTTATGCTGCTTTCGTGCATCACTGAGTTGATTAGTTGCAACAGCTTAATTCACTAGCTGGCCCTCTACAGAGGGTGTTTATCAAGAGACCAATGTCTTGATTTTACAGCTAGGAGAAGCCAAGTTGGCAGAGGGCATAAGCTTCATCCAAACCCACATGGCTGGAGGTAGTGGCCGCAAACTGAACTTTGACTCAAGTAGTTCCTGCCAAACCCAAGGCCTTCCCTGGCTTACCAGCCCCCCTGTGTCAGCTTGTCCTCTGACCCCCACTCTCCTTTGACACTATACACTGCCACCACACAGATGCCACTGAGTCCTTTACTAACACACCAGCTGGCGCAGAGCCATCAGGGGGTTACCCGCCAGGAATAGAGGAGGAGGGCGGCCTGGCAGAGCGCGTCACACTCCAGGTTGGCCAGGAACAGCACCTTCAGCTTTGTTTCCACGCAGCTCTTCTCCTCCAGCCTGTTGGCCAACAGGGCGGCAGCTGATTGGTGGAGGAGCCAGCTAATCATCTTGTCTAATTTCAGATTCTTCAGGGCTAGGATGTGCTCGCCCCAGAGGCTCAGATGAAGCACGTTTGCAGCTACTCGGGCAGATGGTCTCTGCAACAGGAAGGGAAGCTGAGGCTCAGGACAGCAGGAACAGGCACTCGGCCCACACCTACTTTGTTAGTGTCCCTTCTCTGGCCCCAATCCAAGTCTCCCTCTGCCCTGCCCCTTCCTGAGACCCTTCCCTCTGCTGACACATACTGGCAGCTCTGCCCAGGCTCCAGGCCTTTGCAAATATATAGCTGTGAATGGCCGCCCATGCAGCGCTGGGATGGCCTTCGGGCACGGAAGGCCGGTGGGTATGGCTCTGTCTGGTACCTTGTACCAGGCTGGGGTATGCAGTCCCTCATCACTTGATAACTGGGTTCGGGCACTAGTCTAACAGGCCTTCACTGAGCACCTGCTGTGACCAAGACAGCAGGCCCTGTGCAGCAAGAGGTCAGTAGGAAGAGGTGCGACAGTGGCTGAGGCTGCCTCAGCTCCTTCCACTAAGGAGTGCACCTGCTGCTCCAGTATGGCTTCGAATACACTGGCCTTTGTGTCTCTTTACAGTAACTTCCAGATCCGCTCTGGAGTTGTATTCTCACATCTGTCTGATTAGATCTCAGCTATTTGCATAGGTTACGTCTCCATTAACCATTTCTCAAAAATGCATCCTCTTCCCTCTGAGTAGCTAAGAAACTAAAAAGCCCAGAAGGGCTGGGGATGCAGCTCAGTGGAGGCACACTCGTCCGACATGTGTGAGATCCCATTTTGAATATCGGCACAGCAAAAAGTAAAACAGAATTAAAAAGTCAAGAAGAGTTGAACTGCTGGAATTCTGACTAGATCTGGTAGCCAGCTCCCTTGCTTCTGTTCATTCAAAATCGATCTGTGTTCTGGACTTGGCCTTTACCTGTGCAGTACAGAGGCTCTGCCTGGCGCCTTAGCATTTGTCCAAGTCTGAGTTTGCTCTAGAGCGTGAACTGAGATCCACAGAGTCACCCTGAGAGCTGGGGGACAGCCTCACCTTGCTGGTCTCTCGCTGGAGCAATGCCCTCACCAGCTGCCTGGTGTCCAGAGGCACCGACTCGGGCAGTGCTGGTAGTTGAGCCTCTTGGTAACTGCGGCTTTCAAGGTGGGCCCTGCCCTGGCCGTAAAAGGGATTGGCAAGCCCGAAGATTTCATAGGCGATGGCTCCCACCGCCCAGGCGTCGGCCTTGCTGTAGTCAATCACTGCTCTGGGGCCAGGACAGGCTGTGGACACCTGCTCGGGAAGTGGAGGATGAGAGGTCATGCCACTGGCAGGTCTACCTGTTCATGCTCCTGTGTTGTCACCCAAGCCTGGGGCTAATCTGAACTCTCAAGGAGCCCAGGATCAAGGGACTTTTGGCTTAGACCTAGAAGGATCTGCTGAGGCTGCCGACTGGATGCTGGCAAAACAGACACTGGGAACAGCAGGGAGACCCAGGTTAAAGCACTGTGACAAGGAGGGAACCTGAGGTCTCTTCTGTCACTTATGGAGAACATGGTCACTTATGGAGAACTTCTGATGGAGGATGCTAATGGTGAGACTCACCTCCGGAGCCCTGAGGCAGCCGTTCCCGCCCAGGTCCACGTACCAGCTGGTGAAAGGCAACTGCAGGCCCATACGCTCATCAGCCAGGCAGCAGCCAAAATCAGAGATCACCAACCAGGGGCAGCCGTCTGTGAAGGAGCAGGCAGAGGTAAGCCACCCCTTCTCACCCTTCTTCCCTCTCAGACCCTCCCAGGTCCCTATGAGAGCCACCAAGACATGGGTCAGTGAGCTAACAGGGACTGTACTGGCCCAGGAGTGCAGACCAGCAAGGCCTGGATGGAGCTGGCTCACCCAGAGCAGAATAGGAGAGCCACACCAGGGACGTGGAGGTGCCTGTAAGGAGAAAAGGCCCACAGAGTCCCCAGGCAAAGGACTAGATAAAAGTTGGCCTCCATCTAAGTAACTGTCTAATGATTGATTTTCTGGTAATTGGGGTTGTCCCAAGACCAGGGGAGCTGGCTTGGCTCCAATGATCCCTAAGGACACTTCTACCCCAGGAGTCTTGCATCTGAATTTGAAACCCTAATAAATCTAAAAAACAGGTGCATTAGGAATTGGTTATTTGTAAAAAGAATTCAAATGATTTCTTTAAAAAGCTAGGTTTTTTTTAGTCTTTTAATTGCACATTTAATTCTTTTAAATCTTCCATTTCAAGAATTTATCAGATGTGTGAATCTCCTTTGCAGCATCCTGGGCACGTTGCTTCTGCCTGAATGCTTCTGGGATTGGAAGCGCATTGCTTCCAGGGGCAGATGGGCTGGCACTTGGACAACTCTTGCTATTTGAAAACTGTTTTTTGTTTTCTTTGTTTTATTGAGCCAAAGATCATCTTTCTTCTACTTTATTCAAGAAAAATTCAAATAAAGTTTTTTATTATAAAAAATACAATAAATAATAAATGCAGCACTAGGTTCTTGTTCCAGAAGTGGGCAATGGGGAGGGACTTGGGAGCTGTTACAGAGAGCCTGCCTCTGGAGGAGGGGCTGCTTGTCTCGTGTGAATGGAGCAAAGTGAGGATAAGATGACTTAGGACAGAGCCTAAGAATCAAAACGGACCCTGAGGGTCCTAATGCCCCAGCTCCCCGCAGCACCTGAGGGCAGGCCGGAGCCTACCTGCGTCCAGCTCCACCAGAATGTTGTCTGACTTGAGGTCTCTGTGTGCGATGCGCTGCTGGACCAAATGGTCCACGCCTTCCAGTAACTGCAGGGTCATCATGGTGGCCAGGCGGGGACTGGGAGTGTTCACACGCAGATACTCGCGCAGGGTACAGGGGTAGCTGGTGGGAGGTGACAGAACCTGTGGCCGTCACACAGCATGGCCCCCAGCACCTAGGTCAGTTAGGATCAGGCCTCTCCTCCTCCCCTCCCGAGGGCTTTTTATTTCCTTTTTCTCACATATTCTTGCGGTCTCCACCCACCCACTGTGCTGACATTAGGAAGGGCTGTGGCTCCACATGTTCACAGTATTGGTGAGAGAGTTCCTTCGGCTGAGGGGGAGGAGGAACTACTGTTTCAGGGCCAGGTGAGCCACAGAGAAGCGCCAGGAGCACCAGTGAACAGTGCTCTGAAGGTGACATTTTTTTTTTTCCAAGTGAAATCATCCTAAAGCCAGGTCCATGCACTCTCTGCGCCACTTATGCTAACCCTAACCCTAACACTAACCCTAATCCTGAAGCCCCAGGGAAAGCCTCCGAGGGCAG